CCATCATTTAATGGTCTTTGGCCTTTGGTGGATAACTGACCATAGGTGCATGGATTTAGGTCTGGGTTCTCAATTCTGTTCCTTTGGTCTATGTGTCTGTTGTTGTACCAGAACCAGGCTGTTTTGACTACATGGTGATATAGTAGGTTCTGAGATCAGGTTGAGTGAGTCTTCCTACTTTGTTCTTTTTCTTCACTAATGCTTTGTTTATCTGGGGCCTCTTTCCTTTCCATATAAAGTTGGTGATTAGTTTTTACATCTTGGTAAAGAATGCTGTTAGAATTTGGATCATGATTGCATTATATCTGTAGATTGATTTGGGTAGTATTGACATTTTCACAATTTTGGGTATTCCTATCCGTGAGCATGGTATGTTTTTCCATTTATGTAGGTCTTTTTGATTTCTTGCATTAATTTTCTTTGTATAGGTTTTTACATCCCTGGTGGGATTTACTCCTAAGTATTTTATCTTTTGGGGGGCTATTATAAATGGTATTGTTTTCTTGATTTCCTTTTTGAAGTTCTCTTTGTTGCTGTAGAGTAATCCAACTGATTTTTGTATGTTAATCTAATATCCTGCTACTTTACTGAATCCTTCTATTAGTTCCAGTAGCTTTCTAGTGGAATCCTTGAGATTTTCTATGTATAGGATCATATCGTCTGTGAATAAAGATAGTTTTACTTCTTCCTTACCAATTTTTATGCCATTTACTTCCTTTTCTTGCCTTATTGCTCTATCTAGAGCTTCCAGTACACTTGTTCTTGAGATCACAGAGTGGCAGCATAGAAAGAACTTTAGTGATAATCTGTCAATTTGCTGTTGGGGCTGAATGAGATTTACAGAGGATAAATGATCTACCCAAGGTCTCCCCGTTAACTAGGATTAGGTTGCCCAAGTCCCATTTCAGCATTCTTTCCTGTCCACTGGGCTGCTGGTGTCAGCTTCAAACACCCAAGTAAACCTCAGGAACTAAGATTAAAGAATAAGTGCTTAAAAGTGGAAGGGAAAGAGGTGCTGGGATCACAATGTTTGCACCTCATTCTGTAGCAAAGGATCTGGATTTGGAAACAAACCATGTGTGAGCTCATATCCCCATACTGCTACTAAGGAAGTGTGAAAGTTTGGTCAGATTCCTTAACTTCTGATCCTCAGTGAATGCTTCCATTCAACGGGGACTGCTCATTTTAGAGGACTGTTGTGAGCTTCTGTAGTGAGATTGCAAAAATGTAACTCACACTAAACCTCAGAAGTGAGACAAAATATAATTCTTTTGTCTTGTTAATAACTGATCTGGTCTTCCTCACAAGCCTGCTGGCTAGCTAGAAAAAAAAAAAACAAAAAACTAAAGGCCCAATTTTGTTTAAAACTTAGTCTAATCTGCTAGGTTAGACAGTCTGTTCTGGTAATGCTGTCACATATGGAGAGATGATCAATCTCTCAGATTCCTTAGGCTTTGGCTTCACTTTCACTAAGATTGTGTTTTGATGTATGGGGCTGGGTGGGTGGAGACGGTGGCTTATGTGCTCTTGCGGCAGAGAGGAAGGGAAGGGTTGGGTCCTTGGGTGTGATTTCTTTGGCCCCCTCTGAGCCACTTGACCACCTGCCCTTCTGGCCATTCCCTTTACTCCCCCTTCTTTGTCTTACTTCTCCAGGCCTGAAAAACTTCCTGCTTCCAGACCCAGGAAACACCAAATATTGTGACACATCAAGAATTTCCTCTTTATGAAACAGTGTCGTGGTTTAATTAGCATCGAGAGAAACCATGAGTCATGCCTGATTCCTCCACTCTCCCCCACCACATACATCCTCCAACGCTGTCTCTGAGGCCATCCCTTCTCTCAGTCCACACACCCCAGTAGTTGAGCCCTGTTACTCTCCCTGTTCAGCCCCCACTCGTCTTGTTACAGAGCCTTCTTACCACATGTGATTGTTCCCACTGCCTGCAAGCTCTTTTGAAAGTGGTGCCACAGAGGAAGGAGGTGACATGGCCCTCACCTTTGAAGACCTTCAAATTTAAAAGACAATACAAAGGCAATGTACAAAATTTCAATGCAAAGAAACACATAATTGTTACCAATACCTCACTGTTGAAGTCTGAGAACAATAGGCAAATTAGAAGGTGGTGCCACAGGTCAGTGGTGATCAAATGCTGGTCAACTGACTGTGTACGGACAGATCTGAACCAAATAAGAAAACTGTGTGTGTGTGTATGTATGTGTGTAAAATTGGCCCCAGGATATCAGCAAAGTTTGAGATTCACTGCTTAAGCTAATACATCTTTCCCTGTCTAGTGTTCGGTTTAGATAATGGCAGTTAATCCAGAAGACAGCCTGTCCTTAGCTCATTAAAAACATTTCAACAATTATATTACTGAGAACCAAAGAGTTTTTAAAAATTCACCGTTGATAAAATAAATGGAAGTCAAAATAATCTAACAAATTCTCTCCCTTCCAAAAAATTGGCTTTTAAGCCTATTTACATTTTGAAAATCCTCTAAAGCTCATACATTAACTATTCAGGTGAATATCAGGTCCAAGTGCTTGTTTTTCTGTTAATGCCCCCAGCTTCCAGGAGCTGAGCTCTAAGAACTGCATCACCCTGGCTCCCATGCTCTCTTGGGCTCAGCCACTAGGCGGCACTGCTAGGAGCGTGGAGGCCAGAGGAGACAGACGCTGGGATAGTTTTTCCTTACTCTAGTGTGAATCCCTGATGGACATTAACTTCATAATGCTAATATTTGATTAGTATGACTAGAAAATAACAAGACCTGGAACTTATACCTCCAAATTTTATTGCCTTCTCAAAGTCTACACCTCAGAATGCTTTATACCTATTCCAGTGATAGCTGACATGTTAAAATGCTAAGATTTCCTTTTTATGTCCACAACACATTACTTTGAATAATACCAGAAAATTATTCCAACATCCTTTGATGGCAGATTCCATTCAGTTCAACAGGCTATTACCATTTAAGAAAATCAGCAATCATTTCATACTGTGTTCATATGCGAATTTCACTAATTGTCCTCAAAATGCCTTTTATAGCTTTTTTTTTTAACACCAGGATTCAGTCAAGGTTTATGCACTGCTTTTGGTTGCCTCTTTGTGTTTTTAGGGATGCAGAGATGTGACTTTACGTGTGTAACTCCGTGACTGAGCACATTGTGTAACATCACATACGTATCACTTGAATCAAATGGAAGTTTAGTGAAGGCTAAAATTATCCCTGGCATTGCCAAGGACAGTACTTAGGCATGGGAGGAGATGATTCAGTCATTCACGTTACTGTTGTGTGTTGTTGAGTCGGTTCCGACACATAACGCCCTTAGATGACAGAGTCGAATAAGGACCGTTAAACTGGTGTGAGTAGTCGGTGTTTTCCTTTTTCATGTTACAGCACACACAGAAACAATAATGATATTTCCATAGCATAATGGGGTAGATGGAGGAGTTGGGGACCTGTCTGGGGCTCCAGCTGCCTCAGGCCCCGTTCTGAGGGTGGGGGACCTACCTTTGCAGTGTGCTTCGGAAATGCTGGGACCAAAAATATGGCACCTCTATGGTTTCCAAGTTTCTTATGTCCCAGAGTGTCTTATCTTCAACCCCCATCACTTTAGGTGGCCTGATGGTGCAGTGGCTAAGAACCTGGCTGCTAACTAAAAAAGTCAGCAATTCCAATCCATCAGCCACTCCTTGGAAACCCTACGGGGCATTTCTACTCTGTCTTAAACAGGGTTGCTATGAGTCAGAATCGACTCGACAGCAATGGGTTTGGTTTTGGTTTGGTTGGTGTGTTTCTCCCTTGAAAGCATTTAGGCAAGAGTCTCCCCGCTCTGTCCCCTCTCAGCAGCCACATATCCCCATTAACCTGGAAAGACAAAGACAAAGGTAGCCTTTTCCCATTTTATTTATTCACAGTCAACTAGCTACATGGGTGGGGGTTAGTAAGAGCTTTTTTGGGAGGCATAGGAGTATGGGTGTAAAGGTGGGATTTAAACCAAAATCATTTTACAAACAGTTAAACGGAAGATTTACAAATAGCCATTAAAAAAAAGACAGTAGCCTCTGAGGGTAATAGAGGAGTAAAATCAGTTAGCAACTTCTGATCATTGCACTCCCCCAAACCAAAGTCTCCAAAAATGGTTCGCATTTTAGGCTGCCATCATTTGCAGATACTTCTGTGATACGTATTTCCAATGCAGAAAAACAAACATTAACGCCAAGTAACAGACTGATACAATGCCGAGGAAAATGAAGCACATGAAAATAGCCATCATCTTGTAGCAAAAATAGATTTGTGGAGATGTTAATATCAAAATTAAAGACATTCAAATAAATTACGCTGATACATTGGAACTATCCATTCTAAGATGGTAAGAACAACTTCTTATTGCTCCTACTCATGACTAAAAGGTCTGAGGAAATTCTATGATAGCTGGAAGGCATAATATACTTGTAGTACATGTAGTAGGCCTACATCAAAGCTCAACAGCTAAACTAAGACTTTATTATTTTTCTCTTAGGATGGACATCTTTAATAGCAGAACAAGACCACTCATCACAAATCTGGCAAATGCAGATGAAGGAGAATCCTTGAAGCCCAAGCAAATGATTTCTTGGAAGTAATTCAAAGCAGAATATGAGAAAAGCAGCCGTCCAAATGAAGTAAACATTAAAAAAAAAATTAGTTTTTATATATATTTTTTCTTCCCCAGAGAGTCCCACAGGAAGCTCATGAAGACAGTGGGGCCGTGGGGCATTCTAGGAACTTGATGGCTAACTGGACTGTTGTCCTAAAATGAACTCTGTCTGTTTAGTTAGTACAGAATCAGCCTGGGTTCTGGGGTGAACTGCCTGGGGAGGCTGCACTGAGACCTAAGAACACATTTGACTCAGGAGAGTGACCAGCCTTAAGTTGCTTTGGAGTCCCTGGGTGGTACAAGTGGTTAATGTGCTTGGCTACTAATGGAAAGGTTAGAGGTTCAAGTCTACTCAGAGATGCCTTGGAACACATGCCTGGTGATCTGCTTTTGAAAAACATCAGCCAACAAAAACCCTATGGAGCACAGTTCTACTCTGACACACAGGAGGCCACCATGAGTTGGAGCTGACTTGACAGCAACCGGTAGGTTGCTTTGGGGCCTAGGAGGGAGCTGGCTGCCCCACTTGCTACACTGGAGAGTGCTGACTTGTTTCTAAATGGCTTTCCTGCAGTTTGGAGAGAACGCCCGAAGTGCCACGTTGTTGACTGCAAAAAATCCCTTTCCCAGAATATCTGTAGTTCACGATTAATTTGGTTAGAAATAATTAGGAATAAAGTGGAGGTAAAAACACGTATCTCTCTAATGGTGCAGTGATTGGCATTATTTAATCGGGAGATTCAAAGTCCAGAAAATTAAGTTCTACCTCAGTTCTTCCCAAACAGTGCCATGTTTCTGTTTTCTTCACCATAAAAACAGAGAATGTCCTTGTGATATAAATTAGATGAAAAGGTGCTATTGAAAATAGGGACAGAAGGGGGGAAAAAAAGCCATATCCCCCTCAAGCTACTTTCAAGAATATAATAGCAGGATATACCACCGAGCTGTTTAAATGTCAGAAAAGCCCTTTATAGATGTTATATAGACTAGCAGGGTTTTAGATCTGCATATAGTTCTGTATCCTATTCTAATGCACAACTCCTCCCCCTTCTTAACTAAAATGACTACAGAGGAGATATTTGGTCCAGTTATCTGACTCCAAAATAAAGCATTAGCGCAACTGAAATAATAGCATGGAGACAAAGAATTTCCAAGTACTGCATGACAAAGCTATATCCATTCAGGCTGTGGGTTCTGTTGTTGTTGTCTTTTTTGAGCCAGCCTCTGCAGCAGGCCTATTTAACAGCCAATATTACTAAAAGTCTACATTTACCATCACGTCGTGAAAACTATATTTGTTTTCCCCTCGAGTACCCTTAAATCTACAGGCAGCTTCCTCGTGTCTGCGAGCAGAATTTGGATAGATGCTTTAAAAGAAAAGAACAAAGAATATGACAAAGAATGAGACTGTGTCATTCAACTGCTTAGAAATGGAAATGATACGCACATTGTGTTCCTTCTGATGTCTAGATAAAATGGAATAAATGAATCTGTACTTAATCAGTCATTTAACGTTCTAAGATGCCAGTCACTTGCAGATTCTAAAGGGCTACTGATCTACTTTAAATGACTCTCCATTTTGAAAATGTGATACTGTCCGACTGGTTCTCCAGGGCGACACTGGAAAATTATGCATTCTTTTTCTGCTATTTATTCTCCTCTTCATTCACAGCATCACACATACACTGAGATTCTTTACATATCTAAAAATAATTTTTCTGGAGAAATCTTCTAACCACATCATTATACTTTATATTCCATAGCACTGTTACTGACATGAGAGTAGAAGGCTTGAAAATTGGGCTTTGGTTTTAATGTAGTCTGGAAGCGAACTGATAACACAATTCAACTAGTGCACAAAGTATATTATTGTAATTTGAAACAACACATTTAAAAAGACAAAATTTCCCCTTTCAGTAGCATTAATCCCTACTATTTGAGACTGCTGCAAAACTCACAATAGAGTGATATGAATAAGTGTAGGACAGGGTAAGAAGACACTGAGACACTTAGAGCTTTATCAGAACACAAACAGTACAAAGGAAGAACATGAATTCTCTATGTTAGTCTATAAGGCAGATGGTCAAACTTTTCATACAAGATCTAAAATATGGTGCTTATTCAGAGGTAGAAAATACCAAAACAGTATTTAAGAAAAACACCTTCAGTTCTTTAATACAATCAGTTATTTCACTACCCTTTCAGAAAGTCAAATTGCTCGTGGAATGCACTGTATGTTTCACAGTAAACTGGGACACTCCACACTCAACAGAGATGTGACCTAACAGTGGCGAGAGCAAGGGTAGGGCAGGAAGCAGGAAATAGTTTCTTAACTTGTCAAGGATTCAGCTCTCACTAAAGAGCACTCTCCTCTCCGGGATGTCATTGCAGCATTGAATTAATGGGGCAACAGGGTACGCTTTTGCACATAAGGCAACAAACTATGAGCGCAAATGCCTCCTCTTTCAGAAGGTGCTATATCCACTTTCTATAAAAATATAAGTTCCACTAATCCTATACCATCCCTCAACCACAAAATGCAAATAGAAGGATTTTCAGATTCCAGCACCAGCAGAATTGTTCTGTATGAGCAATTCAAGAGCTGTCTGAGGCAAAAAGATATCTGAGCCACCAAATTAAACTTGGGTAGCTTACGCATGGGTGAGTAACCCTGGGTTTTTTCTGATTTCTTAATGCACCTGGGAGAGATTGATGTTCTTGTTTTTTTCCCTCCAACATAATTCTATAAGGCATAACTTTCATTTGAATTTTCCCTAACCTTTGGAAAATTAGTGTTAAAGCTTCTTTTTTAACCCACACTTTAACATTCAATCTTTCATTTTTATTAAATAGTTCATATATAAAAAGAAATATCAAGGTGTTCTACATTCATATAAACAATCATGATAACATTTGGAATTGTAAAGAAACCCACTGAAGAAAATATATACTTAAATACAACGATAAGCACAGTTGATCATTCTAGATAATATCTTTTAAATATATAGACAGGTTGGTGCTGCTTCAGAATGCAAACACAAGAGAAGTACACTGACATATCTTTTTTCTTCTTTCCTTTTTCACCACAAGACAGGATGGTCCAGTTTGGAAAAACCAAGATCTTTTCTAAGTTCCAAATAGGTGCCGTTGCTCACCCAAGAATCATCATCAGATTTCCTGTCAAACAAACAATTTCTTGAAAATATTCTCATATTCTCTTTCCTTCCCTTTTTTCCTCCCGCCTCTTTATTCCCTCCTCCCCTAGACCATCATTCTCACGTGTGTTCAATGTCCCTGATAGTCCAGTATTGGAACAGTGAGGGAACTGGAAGCCAGGAAACTATTTTTGTTACTTCTAGCTTTAACTTTTCAAACATAAAAAACAAAACCGTTGCAATGAATCAATTCTGACAAATGGCGATCCCATTTGTGTGTCATAGTAGAACTGTGCCCCACAGGGTTTTCAATGGCTGATTTTTTGGAAGTAGAGCACCAGGCCCTTCTTCCAACGTGCCTCTGGGTGGACTCAAACCTCCAACCTTCCAGTTAGCAGTCGAGTGCAGTAATCGTTTGCACTACCCAGGCCTCCTTTCAAAGATAGAGACTATGAAAAGTGGTGCTTCGGACAGAAGCATGAGAGTGGAATGGGGAAGAGTTTGTTGTATGTAAATCATGGCTGGGATGATAGTCACCACCTTGGGTATGACTGTGCAGCTACAAATCAACTAGGTCATTCCATACGAAGTGATAAGTTAACATAAAAAAGGGAATTGGAAGCCATAACAGTCTGGAGAGAATAGCTTTGGTTCACTATTCTTTGAATAGATAATATATTACATAGATCAAAATCTAAAATGTACAAAACAATATGTGGTTAAAAGTTTTCTTCCTGCTCCTCTCTCCCAGCCTCCCAGTTCTTCTCCTCAGAGGCCATGATGTTATCAACTCTGTTTTTTCAGAGAAATTTAATGCACATGTGTACACACACACTCTATCCCTCTCCCATTTTTCACACAATGGTAGGACATACAGTGTTCTACCCTTTGATTTTTTCACATGATAATATATATTGAAATCTTTTCCCATGAGTACAATAAGGCAAGGGTCAGCAAACTACGGCCAATGGGCCAAATCCAGCCTTCTGCCTATTTTTATAATAATGTTTTATTGGAAGACAGCCATAACAATCAGCCATTGAAAACACTGTGGATGTTTTCATGCCGAACGATGGGGCTGAGTCATTGCTACAGAGACCTTATGGCCTATAAAGCCAAAAATATTTACTATGTGACCCTTTAGAGGAAAAATTTGGTGCCCCCAGAAAGAAGAGATTCTTCATTTTCTTTTTAAACAGTTGCTATGATATTCCAGTGTATGGATGGGCCACACAATCTAGCCAACACGTAGTCTACTGATGGGCATTTAGGTTGTTTTCAACCTTTAACTATTATTAACAAAGCATATATTATTTTCTAAGTGTGTGAGTATAGTTTTTACATTAAAAATTCCTGTTAAGTACAATTGCTGGGTCAAAGAGTGTGTGCATTTGTAATTTTGAGCTTTATTGCTAAAATGCCTTCATGTAAGTTTTATAATATAGCACTTTCTAACAACAACAGTGGAAAGTGTCTGTTTTCCCACACTCTTAGGAACATAGACTTTTATCACACTTTTTCACCTATTTCAATAAAGGGATCTGCTTAAAATGAACCAATCTGCATAACAGACACTTCTCTATACATCCAAACCAAATCAATTGCCATTGAGTTGATTCAAACTCATGGCGACCCCATGTGTTACAGAGTAGAACTGCGTTCCATAGGGTTTACAAGGCTGTGACTTTTCAGAAGTAGATCGCCAGGTCTTTCTTGCAAGGCACCACTGGGTGGATTTGAACCACCAACTTTTCGGTTAGTACTCGAGTGCTTAACCGTTTGTGTCACCCAGAGAACTCACTATACAGCAAAGAGGCCCTATTCTGCCCAAGCTGCAGACTCCGCTTGAAATCTCCAGTGATGTTTTTACTGTTTCTCAGTGTTAATGGTAAGTGGTAACACTCAGTAAGTGTTAATGATAACATCCAAGTCCCCAAGTCCCAAGCAGGACTGTTACTGCTGAACAACTCTTGGTTTTTCTCCAATTTTTTTATTTTCCTGCTCAAATAACACTATGATAATTTTATAATCCAAAGGAAGTAGAGTCAGGGCCACCTCAGCTGCAATTTTTATATGGTTGGGATCAGAGCCTATGCATAAATTTTATATTTTGTATATAAATGTTAATTCATTTCCCATAGCGCTCCAAAGACGTTGTGAGGTCATTTTTGATGCTTTCACATTAGATTGAGTTCATGTATCTCCTTAACTAGTCCTTGAGACAGTTTGGTTACTCACAATTTTTAATGATCCTAAAAAATACTGTAACGAACATCTTTATAAATGTAGATTTTCCTTTTTTAAAAATGAAACTAATTGATATATGAAATAAAAAAATAAAAAAAAGAACTGACCTGCTTAAGGGTATATGTATGTACCTATCAATTGATCAGTTTGTTAATCTATCTCTGGCCTTTCTCAAAAAAGAATTTAAGGTGTCTATATTATTTTTTTAATGTATAAACAACATTATAAATGTTTTAAGAGGAGACTCTGGCCAGTTGATCTTCAATCTGCTCATATTCTGAGTTTGTGGAAACCATCAGAAGGGATTTGACATAGTGCACAACAACGCTATGGAAAAGAGTATTATATTTTGGAATAAAACATTCATTGTTACTGTTTTGCTGTTTGGAATGCATATTTTGTTATTGATGATGTTGCCCATTAAACCAAAACAAAACCAAATCTAAAAAGAACAGCAGTTGCCTTGAAAGCAAGACTGGGATAGAAGGGGTAGGGCAGGAGCTTGCTGCTTTTCTACATGTGCCTGCTTTCATTTTGATTTTTAAAAAATGAACAAACAAAAAACTAAAGTTGTATAGAGCTCTGGCCTCGTAGTCAGGAGAGCTAGGCCCTAGTCCAGAACATTCCAATGAGTCCTTCAATATATCACCTACATTCCTGGGCCTTCCTTTCTTATCAGTGAAAATAAAAAGCGAAGGGTTGGATGATCTCTGATGCACCTCCTAAATCTTTCAGTCTGTTTTTTAACAAGACCTTCTTGGCAAGTTATTTTAAAATAATTGTAAAGTTTCAAATCCAAGCTAAGGTGTAATGGAGCTTTTGCAATTCAAGAATTAGACTATTTGGAATTTCCATTTTGGTAACTAATGGAGTGATTGTTAATTATCTCTGTCACTGTGTACAATATGTCTACATGGGTAACCGAGCCTGGATACACATTTAATAAGCTGGCTTGGGAATTGGAGGCCTGGTTCAGGCAGTCTCTCCTTGCTTCTTCCAAAAAAGAAGACACTATGCCTGCCAGTGAAGAACACCGAGAAGGGCGAGCCCAAAGGCAAATGCCCTTAGAGATTCAGCTCCCAGAACAGATGAGAGGTTTCACCACTTTGAAGCAGGAAATATACTGAGAACGCTCTCATCCAGGGTGGGGACCCTCCTGTTCACTCTCTTCACACTAGAACATCAAGTGTGGTCAGTACCTATCAGCCAATGACCCACATGGTCCACGCACACACCTGAAAAATCGAGGTTGGTGTTCCAAGTTATTTTCTTCCAACACCCGCCGCCTTTCTCTCTGCAGCTGTTCAATCCTCTGCTTTTGTATTTCAGCTTCTTCTAAGTTCCCTTCTTCTAGAAACCTGAAGCGTTGAGGAAAAAATAAACGAATTTTAATCCCAAGAAAATAGAATAAAAATTACTACTAAACTTGCACGCATCTAACACTAGATTCTCAAAACGCTTTCTCATACATAAGAACCCTCTCCCAAGCCTTAAAACAGTATTTCAAGGTAGTTAGGAAAGATATCATCTTTTTCAATTGGTGATATATTCACATGGTTCAAAAATTATTTATCTATAAGAAGGAATCTGGGGTAAAGTTTCTCCTCCACTCCTGTCTCTAATTCCCCTTGTTTTCCCTCCATCCTACCCACATTCACCCTCCCACCTCAGGTAACCCATTCTGATCGGTTTCACGTACATTCTCCTAAATTCTTTCCGCATATAAGCCAACGTTCATAGAGATTTTTACACATTCCTTTTTAAAAAATAAATGGTAGCATGGTATATATACTGCTTATTCCTTGTGTTTTTTATTTTACTTTTGACTTAACAATATCTTGGATTTCCATATCAGTACACAGACATCTTCATCTTTTTAAATAGCTGCATAATATTCCATTGTGTGAATGTATCTTATTTAAATAATTCTCTGCTGACAGACATTTGGGTTGTTCCCCAATTTTTTATGTTATTTTTTTTGTTCCTAAATTTTTAATGTTACAATTAATGCTGCGATAAATGGCCTTGTATATCTGCTATTTTGCACATGGGTAAGCGTATCTGAAGGATAAATTTCTAGAAGTGGGATTGCTGGGTTAAAGGGTATGAGAATTTGTAATCTGAATATTACCAAACTGCCCTTTATGGGGGGTTATAGCAATTTATATTCCCCCCAGCAATGCTATGAAAGTGTCTGATTCTCCCACAGCCTGAGCAGAGTATGCCAAATTTTTGCCAATCTGGTAAGTTTAAAAATGGTTTATCAATGTGGTTTTAAAAATTTTTTCATATGTTTAAGGGCCATCTGTATTTCCTTTTTCCTGAAATGTCTGTCCTTTTTCCTATGTCTTTTTTTCTATGGGTTGATCTAATTCTTCTTGATTTCTAGAACCAATTCACAGTATGAGTGGCAAATATATTTTCTCAGCCTGCTATTTGTCTTTTGATTTTGGTTATCTATTTTTATTTATTTTGCCCTGAACAATGATTTTTTTTTTTTAAATAAAGCCGATGTTATCAATCTTTTCTTCTTTGGTTTTTGAGTCTTAATTAGAAAGTAGGCAGGGGAGAGAAAATTGTTTCTTTTTTTACCAAATAGAAAACTAACACTGAGGAAGATGTAAAGACTCCTCATATGTCACACAGTGTGTTAGCAGCAAATCTAGGATCAGAAGTTAGATCTCGGCGTACCAAAATGCTTCAAATTCGGGGGTGGGGGAGACTACGGATGCTTCTCACTCTTTCAAATAGACGATAAGAAGGTAAGTCATTATTTTATGCAGTAAAACTAAAAATAAATGCTTTTTTGGTATTTCAGCAGAAATGGGGCTCTACAATGAATAAAGGCCATGCAACACAAAGACCTAGGGTGGGCTCCATTTCTTCCCCATCACCATTACTTGAAGGTTCTCTATAGTTAGACCTGATGACATCATCTACCTCTCTCAGACTCCTCTGGTGGCCTGGGGCCTGTTAACAAGAGTTTTTGTAAAGAGTTTACATTTTTGGAGAGAAAGGCCTTAAAACAAATCCTTACCTTTGGTCTGGTCTAAATCGAGTGTCAGTAGGTGGTAATAAAGACTTTGACAATGGATCCACTTCGTTTAATTCTAGTGCAAACTGTGTGAAGCCATAATATTGCTCATAGCCTTTAGGTATGGGATCTAAAAGAAAAATAAATTATTCATCCCTACCTTGAATTTTGTTTATTTTACATTTTAATTTCTTCATTTTTTCCAACTCTGGCCAACTATAATTCCCCCCCCCCCCATCTCAGCTCTGAACGGTTCTAATTCTATTAAAATATTCTGGCTAAGCAAATAGGTGTTGAATATTTCCTTATAAATTTTCTTCTCTAGAAATTTTTTTTCTATCTACAGGGATAAGGCCTCCTTTGTCTGGGACATATATCAAATTTATACAATGCTGTGAATTTTTGTACTATACTGTTTATGCTATAAAAACAACTTATTAAAATAAACTTGTTAAAAAAGCTCTGGGTCTGTTCTCCTCAACAAACAAGAATCTCTCTGTAGAGAATCTATTTTTCATTTGAGGGGTGTCAAAGTCTCCTAAAATTCTAGCTAGCACCTAAAACAGTGCTGAAGGCATAGCAGGGTGGTCAATAAATGTGAATTCTCTCCTTCCATTCCTGTCCTCCTCTTCAGCAACTCTTGCCCCCACCCCACCCCAATCTTACAAATTAAAGTTCAGAACCATTAGGAGTATTGCCTATCTTGAATTCTATATAAAGATAATATAATTACATATTGGATAAATTCAATCTAGTCAAATAAAATCCACAATAGCTCTCTCGCTATTCACACATACAAATATAAATGCTTTCTTTGAACTTTTCTGTAGATCCATTTTTTTTTTTTTGAAGATTCATAAGTTCTTCTTTAACTAGTCTTGATTTTCTTACATCTTAAGCATGAATGTAATAGAAAAGCTTCCTATTGTGCCTTTAAAAATGAATTCCTGCCCCCACATCAGCAACTACCAGACAGTGAGATTCGGTAGACCAAATAACAGACTTCCAAAGACACCCACGTCCTAATCCCTGGAACCTGTGAATATATTACCTTACATGGCAAAAGGGACTCTGCCAACGTGATTAGGTTAAGGATCTTGAGATGGGGAGGGTTTCCTGGATTACTCAGGCGGGTCCAATGTAATCACAAGGGTCTTTATAAGAGGAAGGCAGGAGGGTCTGAGTCAGAAAGACAGAGTGGAAGATGCTATTCTATTGGCTTTGAAGATGGAGGAAGAGGCTATGAGCCAAGGAATCCTGGTAGCCTCTAGAAGCTAGAAAAGGGAAAAGAATGGATTCTCCCCTAGAGCCTCCAGAAGGAATACAGTCCTGCCAACATCTTGAGTTTAGGGCTTCTGACCTCCAGAACTGTAAGATAATACATTAGTATTGTTTTAAGCCATTACGTTTGTGGTAATTTGTTACAGCAGCATAGGAAAATAATACACGAAGACAGTGGTTTTTCTAGAAGATGGGCCAGAAATGCTCATGGCCAATGCATAGACATAAAGTCAATGAAACAGAATAACAACCACTTACACAGCATTCCTTCATCCAGGCACTACTTTAAAACTCCAGAGAAGATGGTAGTTCTCATCTGTAATATACAGTTTAAACAAAGGACAGGGTGTATGTCTTGGTTACCTAGTGCTGCCATAAAACAAGATACCTCAAGTGGGTGGATTTAAAGAACAGAAATTTATTTTCTCACAGTTCTGGGGGCTGAAAGTCCAAATTAGGGTCTCGGCCATGTTAATTCCTTCCTTGTCGGTAGTCCTGGGCATTCCTTGGTTACTTCGCTTGTAGATGATCCTCATGTGACCTCTGTCTTCCCCATGTGTGACTGTCTCTGTGTCTAATCCGCTCTTTTGATAACTCAGAAATGATTAGATTTAGAACACACCCTACTTGGGCATGATCTAATTAACATAACAAAAACCCTTTTTCCAAACCAGATTATATCCACAAGTATAGGGGTTAGAATTCCAACTTATATTTTGGGTGGGGGACACAATTAAATCCATAACAGTGTATCTCACTTGTAAAATCTCACATGTGTCTCTGAACCTAGGAAGAAGGCCGCTACTGCTAACTCATTCTAGCTTCACGGCCACCTCTGTGAGGATGATGGAAGATGTGGTTGGTATACATTGAAAGAAACATTGCTGGTTGCCTACTCTACAGCCATGTTCCTTTCTAACTTGCTAGTGGGACACTGTTTCTACTTAGGTAGCATTGTGCTTTCCCCAAAGGATGAATCTAGGCCAGTCTGAATCTCCCCATGCCCACCCTCTTGCCAGTGACTGGTTCAGGGATGGGTTGAATCCAGTTCAGGCTAGTAAGATGTAAAGACATATTTGCTGGGGGCTTCTGGAAAATATTTCATTCCTGCAAAAAGAGGCAGGAGAGAAGAAAGTTCTTTTATCTTCCCTCTTCCCTGTTTGATTCACTCTCATGTGGGCATACATTATTGAATCGTGACATTTCACAACCATGAGGGGAAACATCACCATCACACTGGGAATGGCCGAATGTGTCCTCAGTGGTCTGTGTCCTTGACACAGATACGTTGCCTAAGTCACTCCGGGACCACCTGCCTCCTCTTATTGTTAATAGTACACAATCTAATGGTTTAAGCCACTATTAGAATGATTTTCCTTTTTTGTTTTTATTAGCCTAAAGCATCCTAACAGATGTATCTCAGAACAATGGTTTTATGGCTATTACTTGGAAACAACATATTTATCAGATTGGAAGATGGACTAAGGTCTTATAAATGTGGGGACATGTTGATGAAGGTTTAGGTTCCCTAGCCCTTCTTCTCTCGGCTGCTTCAAAGTCTCTACATCCTTCTGGACTCACAAGAGAGATCAGCGTGGCCTATGGTGTTGGTGAACCCGGGGGATCCCTAACTCTTCTATAAACCCTAAGTCATGCTGCCCTTTCAATAACACTTTTCTCTTTGTCCCTACTCTAAAACAACTTCTTGTACTTCAATGACATTCCTTTTTAGTGTCCAATACAGGCACAGGAGTGATGTTCAATGACTGCATGGACTAGAAGATTCTCATAGAGAATGATCAGGGATCAGCACTGGCTTCATTACAGAATTAAGAACCTAGGACCTAGTAGCCAGATGGAGGTGTTGTTGAGAAGCATGAGGATGAGTCTAAGATATGATTAGATGAATGCAGTAAGGCTCAATGCCTCTAGCATAGTTCAAAGCAGGTGGAGACTGAAGGATCTGGGTGGACACTGCTGTCTGCCTAGCTGTAGCTCCTCCTGTGGCGCCCACCCACCTACCCTTTGGCTGGGCTGATTAACTTGGACACTAACTTGCTCTCCAGACACAAGCGGACGAGGAGGAGCCACCGCAGTAGATGCTTTCATGCCATTTCCCAAACAGTCGATGCACGGGTTTCCCACGCTTGTCAAACACTGTGCCTTCAATCTCGTGGGAGTTAGTGCTCCAGTATTTTGCCTAGAATTCACAGAAGAGTTGTCTGGTTAGTACGTTGTGGTCAACTTATTTTAGATATTAAGAAAAGCAAAAGAAAGGGTGGGGGGAGAGAGAGACTGTGTGCCATAAGAGTAGTTCTATACTGCATATACTTTGCCAATTCTTGGTTCTCTTTTTTAAATCATACTTTTAGTTATTTAATACAAATTATAGTTAATCCTCTATTTGCTGTTTGTAACTCAATAACCAACATTTATGTAAGACATGTTTTTTTGCCTACTTTGGCTTCAACAATGTAGGCAGGAAAGTCTCAGTTCCTCTCTTAGACATCTGCCAAGTAGTGTGGTTGGCCTTTACAGCCCCTTAAAGGGGGTGTTCCCAGCTCTCATTGTGGCTCCGATTGCAATTTAACAGATATTTAACTCATAATGTCTTCTCTAAAGGAATTAGACAGAAACCAATCAAATGGTTTTTGATTTTTCAGTTTCTTTGATTTTTCCCCAGAACTAGGTTTGTTCATCCAAGCCATAGGAACCTTGTGTAACCTATATTTACATTGTGTTTTGGTCAGAGTCTGAAACGAAGGCTTGCTGGTTCTATACAGTACCTCACCATAGCCAGCAGAGGGAGCGCTAACTCCCTAGAGTTGAAATTTTCAAAACTCCCAATTACCTGCCTGTCCTAAAAAAATCTCTATGAAAGAACCGAAGGCATTTCTCTATAAATCAAAAAGTCTAGTACTATTTGCAGCTAAAACAGAATCCATATTTGGAAACTAATGAAGTTGAGTGGCATTTTCAGGGCATATTTTGGTGGTTCAGCTTTCCCATTCCAAGGCTGTGGTAAAAATGGGGAGGAGACAGCAGACGGTGCAGAGCCTGTGACTACTGTGAGGGTGCTAGCTTTCACTCCGAGTAAGATGGAAGCTGTCGGAGGATTCTGGCCAAAGAAATGATGTGACATGATGAATGTTTTAAAAGGATCCCTCTGGCTACTGCATTAAGGATAGACCTTATGGGAGTAAGGGTGGAAGCAGGAAGGCCAGAAGGAGGCCATGGCTGTGGTCCAGGTGAGAGGTGGTGCCTGGACCAGGGAGCCCCTGGCACTGTGTGCCTGCTGGCACAAAGGTGATGGTGAAAAACTCCCCAAGATGCCCTGTGCTCCGAGGTCCTTGCTCTGCTACAGCCCTTCCAAGGTCAGAGCTCAGGTGGCCACCTGGGTTACCTTGATAAAATTCACTTTGCAGTGGCAGGAATCGTCATTCAGGTTCTTGATGACTATCTCTCCGTAGTGCTCGATCCACCTCTGCCCGCTTAAGATGTTATGGATGCAGGAGGTCACTTTGTTCCACTCAAAATGATCTCCAAAGCTAAAAAGGAGGAAAAAGGGGAAATAATGATTCCCACAAGAGCACTGCTATTTTATAAAATAAGCTGTGTAATGAATTCCTCATTCCTTCCTTCAGGGAACCAACACTGACTGAGTGCCTACTCTGTGCTGGGCATCCCATGTGCTGCTACTTCCCAAGGAAGCATGCATGGCCAGAGGACAGCAGTCAGATGTGTGGACCTGGGGGCAGGGAGCGGCTGGTGACCTCCTGGAACAACCCACTCCCTCCTTTATAGAGAAGACACTAAGAGCCCGAGTATGTGACTTGTCTAAAGTCACTAAGCTAGGAAAGGGAAGTGGGAATGGGGAAAGCACAGGAATTTTCTGAATTTTACACACACACACACATATATATATATACCAAACCCATTGCTGTTGAGTCAATTCTGACTCATAGCAACCCTATAGGACAGAGCAGAACTGCCCTATAGAGTTTACAAAGAGTGCCTGGTGGATTCGAACTGCTGACCTTTTGGTTAGCAGCCGTAGCACTTACCCAGTACGCCACCAGGGTTTCCATATATATATTTATGTGTGTATATATATATAAATTTATGTGTGTGTATATATATATACATATACACACACACACACACACACACACACATAAATTTAAATCTTCTACAGTGAGAAAGTATTCAGATACTACTTATGGAGTTAAATAGTAATTATGAGGATAGTAATAGTAAGACCAAACACTTACATGGCACATGCTACGTGCCAAGTGTATTTTAGGTGTTTTACATATATTATTTATTTAATCTTTACAACAGCCCTATTAAGTAGGTGGTTTATATCCTCATTTTACAGATGAGCGGACACATGATCAGAAAGGTTAAGTAATGTGCCCAAGGATTTACAAATATTAAGATGCAGAGCTAGCACTCAAATCCAAGCAGCCCAGTTCTAGAGTCCATACTATGGCCATTTTGCTTTATAAAGAAGTACCAATAATCCCTGTAATATTACAGTCATATCTTTCTTAAAAAGAATCTGGACAGTGAAGCAGGACAAAAATGTTAAATAAAAACTACCATTCTTAACTTTGTCAGGAAGTGGAAATATGAGTTTAAAAAGTTTCTATTCAGGGAACTTTGGTCTCTAGTAGGCATTTCAATTTGAGGGAAAGAAAACTTGAGATTGTTAAAGTGAAGAACATTTGAACCTACTGTCAAATAGATTAAGAAAAAACACAAACACTCAGTGTCATGGGGGAAGACAGGCATCGTGCCCCTAAAGGTAAATCTTGGCTCAAAATTCTATAAAGTTCCTAACCATGGAGGAAGAACTTACGCTGGCAGAGTCACATGGGTTGTGCCAATTGGAACAATTTCCATGGATTTGCCCCAGAATTTGTTTTTCCATCTCACATCTGAAATGAAAATACCAAACATTACATATCTAGGATAGCTAAAGAGTTCTTTGGCTACATATATGATCAATCATTACATAGCACAAAGTCTTCATAATAAAATAAATTATTTTATAGGATAACTTTTCAATAAATATTTCTTAAGTACCATTTGAGAACTGGAGCCCTGGTGGTGCAGTAGTTAAGAGCTTGGCTGCTAAACAAAAGGTTGGCAGTTCGAATCTTCTACTCTGCCCTGTAGGGTTGCTATGAATCGGAATCAACTCAACAGCACTGGGTTTGGTTTTGGGTTAATTGAGAACCAGGAACAGAAACAGGGAAACTGAAATTATAAGATAAAGTCCCTTCCTTAGAGGAGGTCACAGCGTGAAAGGTAGACAGAAGTGAAAACAGGTAATGCCCACACAGAGGCAAGGGCTCTAACTAAGTGTGTTATAAGGTGAAATGGAATCAGAGAAGAAGGAATGACCAACATGCTGGGGAAACGCATCAGAAGAGACTTGTCAGAAGGGGCCACTTAACTGGGCTTTGAAGAATAGGCAGGAGCCCACCAGGCAGAGAAAAAAAAATTAAGGCAGAAGAAATAGCTTGTTCAAGGGAACAAAGATGTAAGAGAGCATGGCGTGGTTCTGCCCTGTAGGTCTGGGATTGTCTAGAGAGAACAGAAAGTCAGACTGAGGACATAAGATAGTAGGCTTCACAAGTCTGGCTAAGAAGTCTGGTTTGTGCGCACCGGGGAAGATACGGTGTTTGTCTGAATAAGGAACTTGTGATTAGATATAGACTCTGCAAAGACAATTAAAAGAATTATGGAGAATGGAACAGGAGTAGGAGAGATCAGAAGCAAGGAGACAAGATAAGAGGCTATCGCAGTTGCCCAGGGGATAAGTGAGAATGAAGGGAGCCAAGACAACAGCAATGGCGATGGAGTGAAAGGGACTGAACCCAGAACCATTAAAGTAGAAATAGACAGAACTGGGTGATAAATTAGATACAGATTGTGAAAGAAAGACAATTGAAAGATGATGTTAGAATTTTCTAACCTGGGTAAATCATACCAACAGAGGAGACAGGGAACAGAAAAACAACAGCAGGGTTAGCAGAGTAAGTAAAAGTTAGTTCGGGAACACGGAAAAGAAAAGCAGAAGTGAGGGATGTGTGAAAAACATCTGGGAGTTGAAGCTCCATTTTGGGTCATGATGAAGTAACAGAGGAAGGAGCTATCTTCTCACCTTAAACAATTAAAAAAAAAAAACAGATAAAATATATAAAAATAATGTTTCAGACATTGGTCAATAGGCAGCACAGGACTCTCTGAGAGAAGAAAAACAAACCTAGCTTATTGGAGAAAGCTTCCTGACCACAGAGAGTTGGAACCCAGGAAGAGAGCAACAGACTTCTTGAATTGAGGAGACAGATAAAAAGTCAGGGAGATCAAAGAAGCTAAAATTCATAAAGCTGAGTACTGGAGAGGAGACAGCTATACAAAGAGCTCTGAAGATCTTCAGAGGGTTCTCCTCATGTCTTTAGCTGTACACTGATTAGTGTAAGGAAATTATACAAGGTCAGGCAGAGACTTTTAGTAAAGATCAAGTGGAACAATCCTCAGAGCTCACACAGGGCTTGGAATAGTTCACACTCCCAAAAGCCAGAGTTAAGAAAAGCTGGTAATATTTGGGGCACTGAGTAGAGTCTTTAGAAAGGTATTGCCTCAGTAGAGGGGTAAAATTAGCACTTGATTAAAGCTATTCTGGATCTGCCTAAATTTAAAGCATAAAAGCAAGCCTCAAAAGGATCAAATGACTTCCAAGTATTTTAACTGTGTCCCAAATAAAAACTCAGAAATATTTAAAGGAATTTAAAAAACTCCTACATACAACAATATACTTTCCCAGTGTCTGGCATCAAATAAAAATGACCAGGCATACAGAGACGCAGGAAACACAACTCACGATGAGGAGAAAAATTAATCAATAGAAACAGGTCCAGAAATGACACAGATCATGGAATTAGTAGACAAGGATATTAGAACATTTATAGGGTCGCTATGAGTCAGAATCGACTTGACAGCAGTGGGTTTGATTATTTTATTATAAATATAGTCTATATGTTTAAGAATGTAGAGGAAAGCGGAAGACGATACAGAAGATTAAAAAAAAAGACCCACATCGAACTTTTAGAAATGAAAAATAGAATGTCTAAGATGAAAAATACAGTGGATGGGATTAAACACTGCAAAAGATTAGTGAATTTAAAGACATAGCAATAGAAATTATCCAAAATAACACACTCAGAGAAAAAAACTGAACAATGCGTCAGTGAGTTGAGGGATAACTTCAAGCAGCCTAATACATGTGCAACTGGAACCCCAAAAAGAAGGGGAGGGGGAACCATAAAATATTTGAAGAAATAATGGCCATAAATTTATTTTCCAAATTTGATGAAAACTACAGACCCAAAAAATTCAATGAACCCCAGCCATAAGAAACATGAAAAAAAGTCTCTAAGACACATTATAATCAAGTTGTTTAAAATGGGAGATGAAGAGGAAATCTTAAAAGCAGCCAGGAAAAAAAAAAAAAAAGATACATTACATGTACAACAAAGATCAGAATGACAGCTGACTTCTCATTATAAACATTGTGAAAAGACAATGGAGCAATATTTAAAAAACTGAAAGAAAAAAATAAATGATTAACCTACAATTTCATACCTAGTAAAAATATATTTCAAAATGAAGGCAAAATACTTTTTCAGACATATAAAAGCTAAGAGAATTTATCACCAGCAGACCAAAACTTTAAGAAATATTAAAAGAAGTCCATGAGGGAGAAGGAAAATAATACCAGATGGAAATGCTGATCTATACAAAGGAACGACGAGCACAAGAAATGGTAAATATATGGGTGACTATAAGAGTTTCTTTTTCTCTCATTAAAAAAAAAAACCCTAAAAGATAATTGGTGCTAAAATAATCCAATGGGAGAAAAATAGTCTTTTCAATAAATGGTGCTGGAACAACTGGATGTCCGCGTGCAAAAGAACAAAGTTGAATCCCTACCTCATGCCATATGTAAAAATTAACTTGAAATGGACCAAATTGCTAAATGTAACACCTAAAACTATAAAGCTGTTAGAAAAAATGTAGACATAAATCTTTGTGAGCTTGTATCAGGCAATGGTTTCTAGATATGACACTAAAAGCACTAGCAAAAAAAAAAGATAAACTGGACTTCATCCAAATTACAAACTTTTGTACTTCAAACGATAGACAGCATTAACAAAGTGAAAAGACAAGGCACTGAATGGTCGAAAATATATGCAGATCATACATCTAATAAGGGACTTCTATCTAAACTACGGAAAGAATTCTGACGACTCAATACTAAAAAGACAATACAATTTAAATAGAAATGGCCAATAATCACATGAAAAAATGCTCAGCATTAGTAGCAGAAAAGTAACAGAACCACAAGATACCGCTTTACACTCACTCAGTATGGCTATAATCAGACATATTATTTTGTAATTATTTTACAGCAATCTTCGAAGAAAACTCAGCAGTGTAAAATATGATTTCAAAAATAAAATTTGAAATTTTCAAAAACAATAAACTCCTCTGCTGCTTAGATGCTAGTAAACAACTCTAACTCTTTAGTGTCTCAGAATACATGTTGTCGGATATAGGAGTTCTGGGTATACAGAATATACATGGCTGTGCAATAAGATAGAGGAGACACTAAAGGCATAAATGATTGTGGCCCAGAGAAAGATGGATTTTTTTTTTAAGTGAACAACTAAGTAATACTCCTGAATACTTAATGATGAAATAGAAAAATATCAATTTTGGTTCAGAAACAAGAGGTGAGAGAATCAAATAGTACAGATTCTTCTACCAAAGCCCGAGTCCAGGGACCACTTTTGATCTTAATAAGCATGTACAGTAATTTCTGAATAAATCTATCACATGACAAAAATGATGGTGGTCACGTTACCTTGCCAGAAAACAAAATTTCTAGACTCAGCATGACAGGCAGAGATAGGTGGATGATGGCTGACCTGAAAGAAACAAAGGACAAAAAAAAACAAAAAAAAACAAATTAACATTTGAGTCTCATGAAATCCATCTCTTCTCCCTTGCATTGAGATTTAACACAATGTACAGTGAATTCAAGAGCCCCCGGGTAGCACAAAGAGTTAACGCATTCAGCTGCTAACCATGGGGTTGGAGGTTCAAGTCCATCCAGAGGTGCCTTGGAAAAAAGGCTTGGCGATCTACTTCCGAAAAATCAGCCACTGAAAACCCTATAGAGCACAGTTCTACTCTGACACACATGGGGTCACCGTGAGTCAGAACTGAGTGAATGGCAACTGGTTTGGTTGGCAGCAAATCAAAACTTTTAGTTTCCTTGAACAAGTATGTCCTCAAGAGGGCACTCCTGATACACTTAGCTCATGATGTGCTCAAATCAGTCAGGTGTGAGAACAAAGTCGTGAATGGAATCCTTTGTGGGAGTGTGGCCAGGTGGTAAGTGATGAGGACAGAGACATGTTTTAAAATACGTGAAAAACAGACGTGCAAGGACCGCCAATTCATAAACCATATAATCTGACACTGGCTACCAACGTCAAAATCTCCATTAGCTTGTTCTGAAAGTACCTGCAAATGTTTCGATTAAGATGTCAAACAGAACATATTTTAAAATGCTACTCCTAATCAACACAAAAACGCTATTCCTCTGGCTTAGTGGATTTAATTTTTTTTAAAACTCTGCATCTTTTCAAATTACCTACAAGAAAACCAATCCAAGATAAAATTTTAAAAGAGTAATAAAGTTCCTATAAAAAAGAGTGACACAAATAATTATTGAAGAAATATTAGTCAACAACTAAAAAAATGATTTTTATTCATATGTGGAGGGATAAAAAATATCTTGAGTAAATAAGCAATTATGTTTTGGAAAAGAGAATCCCCTGTAACACAGACTGTAGCCCATTTCCCTACCTTTCGGTAAGGCGGGGGTCATAACTTCTGTTTTATTCTAATGCAGAAGCTAAAGAGACAATGGCTCCTCAATTATATAGCTTCCTTATCTCAGTAACACTGCAGGTACCTGAGCTGTGTATGCTGTTATTATTCTAACTCAGTACTACTGAAACCAGAGTGACTCTTCTTGCTTTTTTTTATTTCTTTTCTTTTTAATTCAAACTTAAAGATACTTTATATCAAACATGCCACATGTCCCTCCTCCATCTCTTCTTTCTTCCATCAGCACTCAATGATAACAATGGATTTAACTTATAAATTTAGGGATCACATAAAACTAAATCAGGGTAAGAAAATGACCCCTACCCTTCTTGTTCACCTCCCAACTCCTGCTTCATGGTGGAGTGGGAGAGCAGCTATGGAATGCTTCCCTCCCCCTTAATGTAGACATATGTTAAAATGGATTATTACAGATTATATTCCCACAGAAACAATGTAAAAATGGGATAAAAAATTTGGCATCTTTATAGGTATGCCCAAAAGTAAACCATCAAAGCAAAATATAGTATATAGAAACTATAACCCTCTTCTGTAAAAATGTTATATCCCATGAAACAGGGACAAATGTACTGTTCATATGAAGTATGTAAGAAACACTACTATACAATAAACTGTGTATACATCCCACAAACATGCACTTTGACCTTTTAAAACTACTGAGTTAGATTAATGAATCAGTGCTTAGCAGAGCGCCTTTAGAGGGCTGAATAGATGTTTTCCAAATGAATAAACTTCAACATTCAAATATCAACCATTTTGCTTATTTTGTTATGGTTTACAAAGGTCTTTGGGGATGATTTATATGGTCCATATTGCTTTTAAGACATTTACAAAGCTTCCCAGGGAAATGTAAATCGATGTCTTATTTCTCTTTGATGTTTCCTTACAGCAAGTATTTACTCATGAAACATTCATGGAGCATCTGCCAGATGCTGCACTAGGGTCAGTGAACGAGTGAGAGCTTTCAGAGTCCCGCAGATCTGGGCCTTAACTGTGCTACCTCATCTACTGGCTGTATGACCTTGAGCAAGTTTCTTCATCCCTCTGAGCCTCAGGTACCTCATCGGGGTTGTTGTTGTTAGCTGTCATTGAGCTGGCTCCAGAATCACGGAGTCCTCATGCACGACAAACAGAATGCCATCCTCGTGATTGACTAAGGCTCAGACTGTTGTGATGCATAAGGTTTTCACTGGCTAATTTTCAGAAGTAGATTTCCAGGCCTTTCTTTCTAGTCCATCTTAGTCTGGAAGTACCACTGAAACCTGTTCAGCATCACAGGAACACACAAGCCTCCAATGACAGATGGGTGGTGGTTGTGCACGAGGTACGTTGGCCGGGAATCAAACAAAGGTCTCCTGCAAGGAAGGTGAGAATTCTACCACTGAACTACCAATGCCCCCTACCTCATCTGTAAAACGGTGTTAAAACCAATGACTTTGCAGACTAAAATATGCCCAGCATTGTATGCTGGCATGTAGTAGGCATAATATTTCCATGAGTGGCATTTCTACTTAGTCCTCATGGTAACCTGGTATCTTAGGTATTATGACTCCTATTTTATAAATTAGGAAGTAGGGGCTCTGTACAGTAAAGAACCTGCCCAGTGCTACACAGTTAGTTAGTGGCAAAGGCAGCACTTCCAACCCAAGTCCCCTGATTGCACTTCCAATGCTCTTTTCTGTGTGTCCAGCAGCCTCTCCACGGCTGCTCTCAAAGTGAGGCTCTTGTCCCTCACCAAAGTCACAGTACATCATTAAGGTCCCTCTCCTGGATACTTAGAAAAAAGAATCTTTTATATCTGACCTTTCCAACCTCTCTGAGTCTCATTAATTTATTTGTAAAAGAAAGTCTGAGGATCTCTCTCGATTCAAAATGTTATGATTCTAACATCAGTTCTCAATGTCTTCTTCAAATGCCAGCATCAAAGGTGGCAGTGGATGCCAGCCAATTTGAAAATATTATACAAAGGCTTTGATGAACTTGAATGCCCATGAAAAGGGATAATTCACAGTTAATCATTTGATGTAATCTTTCTAAAATCTTCCAGAGTAGAGAATAACGAGCACAATCTAACCTGTCTTTGTTAGGGTGGGATTTGGTTGAGGCTCTATTCTCGTTATACCTTAACCCAGGCACAGAAAGGGCAGTAGCTGAGTTGGAGTCTGAACTGACCCAGCCCTAGAATAGACCCTGCGTGTTAACTTGCTGGATAAATCCAATTTAGACTAGTTTTTAGTACCTTTCTCCATTACCTCTTCTCCACCCCAATCAAATTAGAGCAATGCTGATTGGTAAGGATTCTCCAACATTCAAGAAATTAGTATATATGGTTTTTATTATGTAAATATTTCCTTAATAAGGCCATGCATCTTTCTTTTTTTTTTTTAATTGTACTTTATGTGAAAGTTTACAATTCAAGTTAGTCTCTCATACCAAAATTTATACACAGTTATGTGACCCTAATTGCTCTCCTTACACTGTGACAACACACTCCTCCCTTCCACCCCTGATTTCCCGTGTCCACTCAACCAGCTCCTGACCTCTTCTGGCCTCCCATCTCACCTCCAGACAGGAGCCGCCCAGTTGGTCTCATGTATTTACTTTGTCGGAAGAGTTGGCCTTGGGAATGGTTTTAGCTCTGGGTTGACAGAGAGTCCGGGGGCCATGCTTTCTGGGGATCCTCCAGTCTCAGTCAGACCAGCAAGTCTGGTCTTTTCACTAGAATTTGAGTTCTGCACCCCACCTTTCTCCTGCTCCATCAGGGACTCTCTGTTGTGTTCCCTGTCAAGGCGGTCATTGGTGGTAGCCATTTCCCTGGTAGTTAAGAATTCTTGTAATTCATTTGTATATCTGAGGGCTTTCTTCACCCTCACTTAATCATTTTGCTTTATGCTTTGAATGCACTTTATGTAAGAGGTAAGTGGTAAAGGGAGAAGCAAACGGGGTAAGAATGTATTTCAATATCTGTGTATTTTGCAAGGTTTTTTTTTTTTTTTTCCATTTGGAAAAATATCCCTTAATTGCATCACTTCTACCCTGAAGCTGTCCAGAGATATTAAGATATAGTATTCCTAGTTTCTGACTCACCTACAACAGCCTAGGGCAGCTTGAAGGAATGGTAAAAGCTCCAGGTTAAAAATCATCCAAGGAGGGGCCCTAGTGGCCATTCACCCCATGTCATTTATCAAACATTATCTACGATGTGCCAGATGCTGTTTTAGTCACTGAGGATACAACGAGAAACAAAAGAAGCAAAAATCCTTATTCTCACGGAGTTCACATTTCACTGTGGAAGTGGGTGAGACAGACAATAAACAAACAAGTACGTAATTTATCAGCAGTAACACAAGTTAGGGAAAATCATGCCAGGCACGAGGATGGGGTGGGGAGGGCGTGGGGTGGGGCGCTATTGCAGGCAGGGTGGTAAGGGCAGGGCTCTCTGATGATGGAAACCTCTGAGGCCAAGAGAAATAAGGTTGATAACCACGCAGATTCCGGGAGAAGGGCATCCCAGGCAGAGGACATAGCAAACGTCAAGGGCTGGGAAACGTCTGCTGTGATTTCAGAGAAGCACAAAGGCTGCAGCTGAATGAGCAGGGCGGAAAGTGGTAGGAGCCATGGCCAGAAAGCTGGTGGGGGCAGGACTTGTAGGGCTTTGAGGACTGTGTCAGGACTTGGGATTTTATTCCAAGTGACTTGGGGAGTCGTTTGAGGGTTTAGAGCAGATCTTGCTTGTTTAAAACAATCACTGTGGCTGCTGGGTGAGGAACTGGCTACGGGAACAATAGGCCAGTTAATGAGATATTGCAATAGTTCTGTCATTGATCATATAGGGTCGCCATGAGTCGGAATCAACTCGACGGCAACGGGTTTGGTTTTGTCGTTGATCATGGTGGCTTGGGCTAGGCGGTAAGCACCAGCGAGGGAGGTAGAGAAAATGACTGGCTTTGAACATATTCTGAAGGAAGACCCCAGGATTTGCTCTTGGATAGGATGTGGATCATAAAAAGAA